TTATTAAAAGAAAACCCCTTAAAAAAGAACTGATTTGCTTGCTACCGCCATCTATTGGTCACTTTATTGTGTGTTTCATTTACGTTTTCTATCAAATGTAAATTGTATCGACTTACAGATTTGCTTCACTTGATATGTTTAAAAAAAACAACAACTTAACCAAGTTTCTAGCCTGATTACACTCTGAGATTATCACGTGACTTTCTGGCCCTAGTTATTCCAAAGCAACGCTTATTTCTTATAATGTAATTTTTTCTTTACCAATTTTAAAAACAATTAAGTTTCAACACATTATACTAGTGTAACAATAGCTATGTAATGCCGCAGACCAGTTGTTTCACTAGTTATAAAAGTAATTTACTAGCTCCTTGTTAAATAAAGGATCGAATCCTAGACGGAGTAAGTGTTGAGATCAACACTTCTAGAAACTCTTAGTAGCGAACAAATTAAATCTTTCACTAGTTTTAACATACCTATTGGGTGCTATTAAAATATTTATAGTTGTCATTACTTACACCATCTAACAGAATTATATGAGTTAAATCTCTACGCAATATTTTAGAAAGCTTTTTACTTTAATGAAACAAAAAATACCGTTAGAAGCGAGAGTGCCTAACTGATGAAATAAGGCATTCTAATCCTTATAAATAAGGACATAATAAAGGTATATTTAATTAGCTATACTCATTATCAGTTTATTTTTATTTTGGACCTATGCGAGTATCTTACTCTGATCGAAAGTTTATATTAATAAAGCATGCATAATATAATTTTTGAAGTTCTCATTGTTAGCACTTCCTGGAGGAAATTTATGTGCTATATCTCTGATTGAAATATCAGATATTTTTCTAAACCTCTAAAAATTAAAAAAAAAATATTACGTAGTGTTTTTCTGAGAATATTTTCAAAAATAATCGTAAAAAATTAATTACTTGTAATAATTTTTTTATGATTCATTTGTAACTTACACACGAGTTAGAAGATAAATAACTATTATATTAGCAATTTCGATGGCGCCCTCCTGTGGTAGTTAGTTTGCCTAAGTTCATGATGGGTCTTCTAAAACAAAATTGAATCTAGCCCACAATATTATTGATATAACTTTTAACATTTACAACACATGTGTTATTCAAAGTTAATACTTACCCCTAGCTTTAGCTTCTTTGTGTGAAGTGAAGAGTTTTGTAAGTAACTGAACGGTTAGAACAATAAGACAGAACATACTCCGCCAGCCTAGGCGTTAGTACTTGATAAAACTCGATCTCTACTTTATGAGTAAATTGATCGATTATTTTGTGACACATCGTAATCC